TGCTCCTTGGAGACCTTATACAGGGTCACTATGAGTTAGAACCAACTCGACGGCACTTAACAACAACAAGGGAGGATAGCATATTCCATTATATAGACTAGACTGTGAACAATGAAAGCAGACAGACTATTTTGATTCTCTAGCTTAGGCTGTCAAAGGCCATTTTCTGGAATGGCTAAAAATGCAGCACTGCAGCTGTACCTTAAATGATGAGTATGGTTTTGAGTTCAAGAAAGTCAAAGACAAAGAGAACTTGGAAGGAGAAAGTATTAGACTATTTAGGAGATGGAGTAATAGATGAGTAGATCTTCAGGCAAAAGAAAGAGTATGAACAAGGTCAAAGCCAAACCCGCTGCCAAATCAATCCAACTCATAGCAGTCCTATTGTTGTTGTTAAGCTCCGACTCACAGCAACCCTATAAACAACAGAACAGAACACTGCCCAGTCCTGTGCCAGCCTCACAACTGTTGTTATGCTTAAACCAATTGCTGCCGCCACTGTGCCATTTCATCTTGCTGGAGGTCTTCTTCTTTTTCGCTGATCCTTTACTTTACCAAGCATAACGTCTTTCTCCAGGGGCTGGCCCCTTCTGACTATATGTTCAAAGTATGAGAGACAAAGTCTGGCCATCCTGGCTTCTAAGGAGCATTCTGGCTGTACTGCTCCCAACACAGATTTGTTGGTTCTTCTGGCAGTCCATGATGCTTTCAACATTCTCTCCAATACCATAACTCAAATGCATCAATTCTTCTAGGGTCTTGCTAATTCGCTGTTCAACTTTCACAAGCATACGAAGTTACTGAAAATACCATAACTTGGATCAGGTACATCTTAGTTTTAAAACTGATCTTTGCTCTTGAACACTTAAAGAGGTCTTGTGCAACAGATTTACCTAATGCAGAGCAAAACTGCCATGTTCCATAAAAGTTTCCAAGGCTCCTGGTATGGAGCTGTAGGATAAGCACTGGACTGCTAACTACAAGGTCAGCGGTTCAAACAGACCAACTGCTCCTCGGAAACCCTATACAGGGTTGCTATGTGTCAGAATGGACTCAACAGCACTTAGCAACAACAACAATCTATAGAGAAGCAGACTGAAACATCTTTCTCCAGTGGGGTGGCTGGTCGGTTTGAACCACTGACCTTCCAGTTAGGAGCCGAAGAGTTTTAACCGTTGTGCTATCAGGGTTCTTTGAACAAGAACTGGGAGGTAAAAATGTGAAGAACATTACCAGGGAAAAAGTGTTTGGCTTGGGTTTGTACAAAGAACTAGTAAAAGAAAGGGAGTCTGGTATCCAAGGATGTTGAAGGCTCAAATGAATGAGCAGATTCCACTCTAGTTAACAGGGATCTACTAAAAGTCTAGAAGCAAGAGACTACAAAATCAGTTATCTACTGACAGCACTGTGTTAGGTGGATGAAAGGAAAGTGACCCTTACACGAAATGTAGACAACAGAGAACAGAAGAAAACAAGGCTACATACACATGTTACCCAGACAGCATACTTAGAGTAAAAACAACTTCCAAAATTCACCACGGCCAAATAAAACCATCATCATTCCTGGCCCAGTACTGGAATGAACATGCCCCTAGAAAATTTTCTCACTTAAATATGTAAGAATAATGTTTTCCATAGACAATGTTAAATAAAAAGACAGTCCTCTACTTTCAGCAACTGGAATTAATGACTCAAATAAACCGTGTGTCACCAATTCCCAGCACTTAGAGAAGACAAGCAGTAAACAAAAGTTAACCTATTGTCTGATACTGTTCAACACAGAAGACCATGGTAGTTTAGAGGGCAGTCTCAGGACCCAGACATCTGGATTTGAATCTTACTTCCATCACTTATCAAGTGCATAACCACCGGGGAGTTGTTTCACCTCTCCATCCATCAGCTTCCTCATCTATAAAATGAAGATACGCTACTACCTACAATCTCTTAAGATCTACATAAGGCTTGATTGAAGTAACAGATGAAATCAGCTTCCTCATCTATAAAATGAAGATACGCTACTACCTACAATCTCTTAAGATCTACATAAGGCTTGATTGAAGTAACAGATGAAAAGTCTGGTGCAAAATTACTGTAATCACTATTGTAATCTTTTGAGACCTCCCTGGGTTAGTCTGGTTCATAGTTACTCCCTTGCCAACATCAACTTAACTGTTAGTACAAGCAAAAGTACAAATGCATGACAGCAGGGCACTTGTGAGGGGACACAGAAGCGATCTGACCCAGTGGAAAACATGCTATGACTCCATCAATGAGACAGACTTTATTTTTCTGTCCAGGAAATAGGCGTTGAAGGAAATTCCATAGATAAGTAAGCAGTGGCAGTATTACACTATCCCAAAAGGTACTTAGATGTCAAAAATTCTGTTGTTTTGGCTGAATGTTCCTCTCATTACTTCATTTATAAACTGCAGCTCAATGTTAAACCTCTGACATGGGGCTGAAAGCAAGCACTTCCCTTGTCACAAAGCAGTGTGTAGGAATTGTGGTTGGGACACACACTTGTCATTTGACGTATGCTTGGGATCAATCTCTGAGTGTGGTGATCCCTTCATCAAAGCTCTGAGGAGTCTGGCTCTTTCTTGTGCTTTGCTTTTCTGAAATTTTTTAAACATTTATTTTCTTGCTTATATTTTTATTATTTTAAACATTGCGGCATTGTAGGCTAAAGCATCAGACTCCTTGGAAACCCTATACAGGGTCGCTATGGGTCGAAATTGACTTGACGGCACTCAACAACAACAACAATATATAGAAAATTTGGGAAAAGAGTACAATGAACATATCTGTATATTCACCACCTAGATTCAATAATTATGAACATTTTGCTACATTTGCTTAACTTAGCTGTGGAAACATCTTCTGAACAATATGAAAATAAATTGCAGACAAATACTTCAGCCTTTATGTATGTAAATATATATATTTTTTCCTATACTCATAAAATCATGTCATTACCACACCTAAAGAAATTAGTAATAATTCTGAGTTTCTGGCATTTAAGATCTATACATAGATCTTAAAAATAAAAATTATTTTGTATATTTTACTATCAGGTATACTGTGCATTACGTGCAAGGTAAATCTAAAAGCACAATGACTTGCTCTTCAATAGCACTGATGAGCTAATGGACAGTCAGCAGAAGAGCATGATGGGTCCTAGCTCTCCCTAAGGTCCTCTGTGAAAAGACCCTTCTGATTATGAGGGCTTTTTTTATCCACTTCTTGAGTTCTCCTTTCCTAGATTTTCCTAATTAAAATAATAATAATATTAATAATGGCCAGAATGTTAGTAATAGAAAACTCTTTTTTTAAGTAATGTTGAATACTGTATCTCCAGTACAGCTGTTTCTTCACCTTCTAAATCACTGCAGTTTAAAAATAAGACAAAAACCAAAAAGTCGCAAGATAACTTGCAGGTTCTACTGAGAGTGAGGTGCATTACTTCCTACAGCTCTTCTAACCATACATAGTCTTTGTGTCTCCCACCAAACAACATTTTTTTCCCGATGGTCTGGGTAAGAGAAGGCGAGAAAAGATGCTGATAGTGTATTATTGCGTTGTGAGTGACTGTTAACAGGGTTAACTGCGATTGTAAAAACTTGGAACTCTAATGTAGGTATAAAATGAGCCATCGCAGAAGCACTGAGGGGAAGCTTCAGATATCGTGCACTACCATTAAAGAGCCAGGAGCGGAGCATGTCTTTGAACCCTGAGGTCCCTGTCCATTGAACCTAATCAACCCAGAAGACAGAGCTGTGACACCAGAGGAGCAGCAGAGGAGTGACAGCAGCAGAACCAAGAGCCAGAGTATGAGCCGGAGCAGTGGGCTTCACAGTCAGTAAAGCTGGCTGCATTCAGAGAGGAGGTTTGCTTGTGGAGTAGGGTGTCTCTAGGCACTTAATTGGGGATCTGGATCTGCTGACCCATGGAGCTAGACCTAAGGGAGGTGTATAGCAGAATGCAGTGCCTTTTGGGCATTCATCAGCAGGACTAAAAGATCTTTGTGATATTGTCTGAGCAGAGCAGCGGTCAGACCAAGGGGCCAAAGGCATGGCAGAGAAGAAACTGTCCTTACCAAAGAACTATCCCGAGCATTTTCTGATTCTGCATTGTAACCTGTTAACTTCCCTAATAAATTCCCTAACTGTGAGTAAGGTGTCTGAGTTCCGTGTGGCTATTGCAATGGATTATTGAACCCCGGTGAGTAGGGAGTACTAGGGGAGGGACGACTGGTGGTGTCAGATTTGGTAGAAAATGTCTGGAGGGTAGGCACATGTCTGAGCTCAGTCTCCTAGGAATCTCCCCGTGGGTTGATGAAGATGAGTTTGATCCTCTGCCTACCTAGTGAAGTCAGAGGGGGTCAGATTGTGCCCCTGATGTCATTTTTGTACTGCCTTATGAACTAATTAACCAGATGGATTTCTGTATTATATACATATGTTATCAAACTTTACTGTCGAGTAATACACCAGCTGTTGTTGTTGCTGTTAAGTGCCATGGAGTCAGTTCCAACTAAAAGACCCTGTATAGGGTTTCAAAGGAGAGGCTGGTAGGTTTGAACCACCAACCTTATGATTATCAGTCTATTGCTTCTTCTACAGTACCATACCAGGACTCCAATACACCATGTAACTGGTTACAAAGTATAAACGTTAAGCATTTAACTCTGAGTAAGAAACAATCTCATATTATAAATGTTTCTATGTAAAAAGGGAACCACCTTAAATTTGACTTACTAAATCTTTTCTAGGAGCACAGCCCTCACAGTGGGAAAGACTTGTGTAAAATCACAGGGATTTAACAGGATTGTTTTGAAAGTCATTCTCTTACCCACCTGCTTTATCTGCAGCACATGGATCATTCCTGTTACAAACACTGTCGTGCACTCTGGATGGTTAACACGATGGTTAACATTATATTGGATCCTTACCAATTACCATTTTAAAAAGAAAACACAGGGCAACCAAGAAGACACTTACCAGACTGGTGCTCTGAATGGGCTCCGGTACAGTCTTGGCTGTGGTTTCTTCCTGGTCTGGAACATTCACTGTGGCAGCACTTTCCTGAGCCAGACCAACCAGCTGCCCACTACTTGAACTTCTTAGCTTATCTGCAATTCGCTGGTTCTCTTTCTCTAGCTTGATTTTGGCTAACTGTGCTTCCAACATCCAATGCTCTTTTTCCTGCTCCAGTTTAGAAATCTTCTCCAAACTTTGTTGAACCTTGAAAAGCAACATACACAGAGTTTTGTTCCTTAAGAGGATGATGTAGACAAAACTAAGTGGCCAAGGAATACTTTTGTTGATGCTGTTAGTGCCATTGAGTTGGTTCTGACCCATAGCAACCCTGTATAGGGTTTCCAAGGAGTGGCTGGTGAGTTTGAATCACTGACTTGTGTTGTGGCTCAAAGCAACCTTGGGGTCCACTGCTTTATCCCACAGTGCCATACCAGGACTCCAAAGTAATACTTCACAGAATATAAATTAAAACTATCTCACATAGGTGAAAACAATAAAGCTAGACCCTGGAATAAGGAAAGATTTATTAAGCAGAGCACAAAATGTACAACCATACAACTGGAAAAAAATGGAACTATAGTAAAAGAAAAATGTCTAAAAATCAAAAGGCATCATTAGACAGTGAGAAGGAAAGTCACCAAATGAAAGAAAGTATTTACAAAGTATGTATCAACAGAGGACTCATATTCAGGACACATGAAAGAGTCTACAAACCAATTAAGAAAAAGACAAGACAATCCAATAGAGATACATCACCCTCACTGATACTGGGTTGGTTCTGACTCATAGAGACCCTGTCCAGGAATTCTGAGGCTGTAAATCGTTATGACAGCAGAAAGCCTCATTTTTCTCTTGCAGAGCAGCTGGTGGGTTTGAGCTGCTGACCTTGCAGTTAGAAATCCAATGCTTATCTTATAGCACACTGCCAGGGCTCCGAAATAAAGTCACACACACACATACACACGAGACATGAATAGTCCCTTGAAGGAGACTGTAGTGGCAGGCTGTGTGCCATTGAGTCAGTTCCGACTCAGAATGTCCACCCCCATAGGGGTCGCTGGGTTAGAGATGCAGATCACCAGGTCTTTCTCTCTTGGGCTCCCTGGGGGGATTCAAACTGCTCATCTCTTGGTTATTAGGTGAACACTTAACCACTGTGCCACCAGGGTACTTTTAACAAGACTATAAAAAAGAAGGTGGTCAATACTATTCATCCAAGGAAAGCAACTGAAAGTCATTGGAATGACTAAAATTAAAAAGGAAATACTAAAGGCAGGCACATTTGTGGAGTATTTGGAACTATGTATAGTGCAGGGAAGAGAGAAATGTGGAACAAGCACTCTGAAAAATTGTTTGAAAGATCTTTAAAAGCTGAATACATACAATGCAATTCCACTTCTCTGTAGATACCCAGGAAAATGCATGTATATATATATTTATCAAAAGCCACATATATTAATGTTCATAGCATTGTAGCCAAACACTTGAAATGACTAACATATTTATCAGAAGTAAGAATGGATAAATTATGTACATTTGCACAATGGAATACTAAACAGAAACGAAAATAAACGCATTACAACCACATATAATAACATGGGATATAACAAATACACTATTGAACAAAAGTAGCCAATCCTGAAAGAGTACATACTATAATATCACATTTCATAAAAAGTTCAGTATCAGGCAACAAAACTAATCTAAGTGTTAAAACCCAAGGTAATGGTTATGTTTAAGAAAGAGAAGATTAGTAAACTGGAAAGCAGACAGAGAAAGGCTCGTGGGGGCCAAGTAACTATTATTATTATTATTTTTTTTGCGTTTCCCTTTCATAGAGAAATGGTATGGTTTTTGCTATTTCATTCTAATTTGTGTGGCGTTACATTAGTGCGTTCGTTTTGTAAACATTCATTGAGATGTGCATTAATGAGTTATGTAATTTTCTCTAAAAAGATATAGGGGTAAGTCATAGAAATACTGCTACAAAATCATAGAAACCTTTATTAAATAAAAATATCAAAATGTGAAGCTATTGTTTGTCGAGAAACTCCTCCATCTAGGTCTATACCCTTCTGAAGGTGGTATTCCCAACTCTGCAAAGCCATCTGAACTGCAAGGTTGGCAGTTAAAGCTCACCAGCTGCTCCTTGGAAACCCTATACAGGGTTCCTATGGGTCGGAACCGACTCGACAGCACTACACAACAACAATTCTTCATCGGCACTGTGGGCTAACACGTCAGACTGCAAAGTTGTTTGAACTGCAAGGTTGGTGGTTCAAGCTCACCAGCTGCTCCTTGGAAACCCTATACAGGGTCATTATGGGTCGGAATTGACTCGACAGCACTTAACAACAATTACAACAATCCTTCCTTGAAGAATTCTGTGCTGTTTGATTACACCATATTAAAATGGCAGTTGGAGCAGCCTTGATGGACCATATTTATTTTAAATGTTCTTTGAGTTTGAGAAACAAAAAAGAAATCTGAAGGGGCAAGACTGGGGCTGTAGTGTAGGGTGGATGGGATAAGGCTGCCCAACAAAATTATCATAGAACAGATACTGCTAGCCTCTAAGAATAAGCAGATGCACTGTCATAATGGGAAAAAATTCCTCAGCACAACTTTTCTGGCCTTTTTATCACCAATGCAGTTTTCAAATTTCTGAAAACTTTATCAGCCCTCATAACTATCCTGTGTCCTTTGAGAAAATATGTCACGATTACCCCTTGGGAGACTCCCAAAATAGTTGCTGTATGTTTCTGAGCTGCCCTCTCTGTTTTGAACTTAACTAGCTCAGCAAATCTCCTTGGAAACCACTACTTTAATTGAACCTTTTATTTGAAGGCATCCTAAAGAGACTAAGGATTATTACTATTATTACTGAGAGAACTTGTCTGTACCCATTCAATGGCAACAGAGACATGTTTAGACACATTTTGTTTGGAATAAACTTGTGCATGTATGAGCTGAAATTCTAATAGCAAGATTTTTTTTTACTTTACCTGTCCTCAGTAAGAACTTAAAAGCAATGCATAACAACAATAGCAAATCAAAAGGTATTCCATATTTTGTGGTTCGTCTCAGGAATATTGTTTTCAGAAATTAGTTCACGGATTAAATTCCAGATCTAATATCCTAGGACATTAATGTCAAACAGGTAAATGATAAGTTTTCATGTTGCACTGTGGATTAATGCGCCAGACTGTAAAGCCATTTGAACTGCAAGGTCGGTGGTTCAAGCTCACCAGCTGCTCCTTGGAACCCTATACAGGGTCACTATGGGTCGGAACCAACTCGATGGCCCTTCACAACACAACAACAAATATAGACAAAACATTATCTTAGGTGAACTTTTTTCATGCTGTCTTTAAAATAAATATTTCCAGACCTAACAGCAAGCTAGATATTGAAATGAATAAATCTCAGACAAAAGCTAAACTGAAGTTTGTAGACTATACCCTTTGGTTGGCTGATGATGCATGGAGGGATTGTAACCATGGCAATGAAAAGATATACGATAGGATGAATGTAAAACTAATGTTCTCCCATGTAAACTATCACACAATTCACAATAAAACATTAAAAAAAAAAAAAAACAAAACGCTAAACTGGAGTCAAATTGTAGCAACTTCTGAACAAGGGAGAACTAACTGCCTTCCATCCTCAACCTGCTCATTTCTGCTAAGAAATGAAAATAATCCTGATATCTAGTCCCACTCTGATTTATTGCCTTAATAATAGACTTTTAAGCCTATTGTTTACATAAGAATTAATCATCATAACCAAAGTGGGTTGATATAGTTTTAGTGGCAATTATAACACCACTTGCATATTTACTTATGTAGTCTTTAATTCAGATCCGTGTATTTAAATACTTTTTCCAAGCAGTTTAACATTTCTACTTTTACCATTTACTACGATTTTCCAGGTGTCATACCTGTTGTGCCAAGCCTTCTCGACTTTCAGTAGAACTCAGAAGAACCCGGCGGTTTGCCAGTGCTTCTTCATAAGGCACAGAGTCTCCGAGGGGCTATGGAAAAAGCATTATAAGAATTAAAGGAAAAACTGTGAACTCTTCCCCTGATCTTACATACACAAATAAGAATGCTAAGTGGGATATGACGATAAATTCAGATGTATGCCAACATAGACTTGTTATTTCCAAGGAACAGTTGGTGGGTCTGAATCATCAACCTTGTGGTCAGCAGTCCACTGCTTATCCTACAGTGCCACACCAGAACTCTTTGCATGAGAATATATTTAAATGAGGATTTAAATTGAGAAATTTTGACCATAAAATATAAGATAAAATATAGACGACTATTTCTAAAAAGTATTTCTGTTTTAAGATTTGTAACTAAAAGAGAGGAGTTCATCTTTCATTTCAGGAACAGACAATACGAGGACCATCAAGAAGGAAGAAGATAAGTGGAGTGTGAGATCCCTACCTAGGAAAGCAGTGACGGCAGAGATGGTGGTAGAGGCAGTGGTATGAAAAGGCAGAGAGCAGTTGTGGGCTCTACCACCTCCTTGGACTGAAAAAGGCTGTGTGCCTGTGGGAAGGAAGCTGACTGGTAGAATATGCCCTTAAAACATTTAAATGAATATAACTGCTTAGTCTTGTAAGTGTACATCAAACAGTTTTAACTTGTTCATTTGTAAAATATAAGATGTAAATGGAGAGTCACAGCGAGGAAGCAGGGTAAATATTGTTGCAGGGAAGGGACTGTAATTTAAAATATATATATATCCCTGGTGAGAATCACCATCGTAAGAGGGAAAAAAAAAAAAAAAGGATAAAAAATTAAAGTGCCTATTTTGAAAGAATATTGTAAAATGGGAAAATGTCTCCAATATAAGCAGAAGTTTTCAATTCTTATTATAAAAGTAGCTCTTTCAATCCTAATTCAAGACACATATCAAAAATAGGCTAAAGATCTGAACAGAGAATTGACAGAATAAATGTAATAACAAACTTTAATAATGTTCCACCTGACTAATAAGCAAAGAAATGCAAATTAAAACAATACAAAACCGGTCATCTCTCAGATTAAATACATTTTTAAACTGTAAAACCCTTGGTTAAAGTTGTACTTTTAACTGCTTGTAAACTGTCAATCTATAATCGTAAATCTACAAAGTGTGCCAAAATTTGAAACATGTACAGGTTTTAAACCAGCAATTCCATTTTTCTGACTTAATCTTAAGGATATGATAAAAGAGTATTAGACAGAATATAGGGAGACTGGTAACCTTATATATCACTAGGAATGTAAAATCATATAAGGGGGCTTCAAAAATTCATAGAATAATTTCATTCCATTTTCCACAAACTTTTTGAAGGCCCCTTAGATAGCCACTACAAAGGGCAATTTGACAGTAACAATGAAAACTTAAAATGTGCAAGCCACATGACCTAGAATATTCTACTTCTCAGTATCTATTCTAGAGAAATACCCACATATGTGCCCAAACAGACATTTACATAGAAACCTACTGTAGTATTATTTTAACAGTATAAAAGTCAAAAGAACCAAATGTCCACTAACAAGGGAATATCCAAATGAACCATGTTGTTGTTGTTGTTGCTAAATGCCATCGAGGCAGTTCTGACTCACAGCAACCCTGCATAGGGTTTCCAAGGAGTAGCTGGTGGGTTTGAACCACCAACCAGTGCTTATCCTACAGTGCTATATCATGACTCAACAAGTTTTAGAGAATCTAGAAGATTGCATACAAAATAATAACTATGGTCACACCACTGGCGAGCACCTGGAGTTAGAGGCTACAAACTACATGTAAAGGTCTAAACTAGTACAAAATATGTATGTGTCACATGCAATTAAAATTTTTTTAAGAAATGAAGAATAAA